ATCCAATTTATTTTTTTAATCTGTATTGACTTAATCTGGATCGATCTTAATCCACTACCTTGCTTTAGTGTTCCCCCGATTTTAGACATAACCCATCCAATTTTTTTATCAATGCCATTGAGTCAAACATACAGTTAGATGACCATAATGTCGTGTTTTGGTAATTAAAGGTGCGAAGCGCATCGTTTCAGAAAATGAACTTCATACAGAGAATTATTATAGACTGTCAAATTGGGCGTTCTTACAATGCATCAGTTTTAGGAAACTTGCACTGTATCGATGTGCAATCTTCGCTCAACCTGTTCTTCGTTGAAGTGAACTAATCAATTTATTCCCCAAACACCGATTTTTCCTTACCATGCTCATTATAAGAGGGTGCGTATTTGACTGTAATCTAGCTTAATCCGGATTGATAAACTCCAAGTCAGATTGAACTCTTGAGAAGTAAAAACAGATGTCAAGATGTTAGAAAAAAAGTATAACTGGGGCGAGTGCAATAAAAAGGGTGGATTTTTTAATCCAACTCTTTACGAGGCGTTAATGTAATATATGTTAGCCTTGAATCTACTCTTTTGATGGATATGTCTGATCTAAATCTTTTTGCAAGCCGTGGGAAAATAATTATGGTCGTGACAATATTATTATAGTTTTATTCTAAAAGTACTAAAAGAAGTACTGCTTGTAATATTTATTAGTCTTACAGGTGTTAAGTTCATCATAGTGATGGAATTGATGAATAAATAACGATAAGCAAAATGAAACGTGAGCACACAGGCGACAAATTTCCGAAGTTAAGGGAAAAATAGGCAATTGGTAAAGGAGGATGGTGAACTCATATTTATCGATTTCCCACAGATGGTCTTTACATCACATCCAAATGTATGTCTTGATAGTTTACCACGAGTAAATATATACAATCGAGATGTTGAGTGTACTTTCTATGGACAAAATTCAAGTGGCTGCTAGCGGATTTGCTCAAGAACATCAACCAGAACTAACAGGTATTATTTTATTATCATAATTTCATTTTTTTCCTTCTAATTTAACAGTAAAGTTTAAATGACATGACCAAATATCTGACAGTGATCCTGAACCCGGATTAGCACATCGTGACACAGAATTCCGACCGACATCTACCAAGCCACAAATTATATACATGCATCATATACGTAACGGAATCAATCAAAAGCGAGAGGTCTTCCTCTATCTCTCGTGACTTCTGGTATTTTAACTAAATTTTTTATTATGCTGCTGACTGGGGTTATTATACATGTAAATATAGGAAAGAATAAAAAAATAAAGGAATATAATCATGATTATATTATTACACATTTTTCGATTTGTAATCATAGTGCTTTGATGCAAAATCACCTGGATTGTTGATCGATATCCATTAATCCAACCAATCAATAGGACCGTAAATTCCTGGGAGAAATTGCAAAAATAATAAAAATAATAATAATAATAATAATCATCACCATCATCAACGACATTCATCAGCTTAACCCACGTAACTTTTCTTTTTTCCAGACAGCGAGTGAGCGACGGAGATACCGCACCAATAAACACCTAAACTTTTTGTCTTAGCTCCAATTAGCCAAACTAGAAAACATGACTGCTTCCATTGGCACATTGCTATTCCACGAAAAAGAAGAGGTACTCTGTTTTCACGGACCGCTTCTGTACGAAGCTAAGGTAAATTGAGGGATATCATAAAATTGTTCCGTGTGAGAATGATGTGTCGCCATTAATCGAAGATCGATAAAAGACTGTCCTCGCGGAAATGACATAAACTATTCTTTGAATCATCCATATATCGAACGAAAAATGTGTTTAACGGATGCACGCGTTTTGTTTCACGAAACCTTAGGTTCTAAAAGCAGAGATATGGCATCCGGGTGATTCGGAAACGGGTGATACTGGTCCTCATTATTATGTACATTATAAGGGATGGAAATCAAGGTGGATGTTACGTCTTGTCGAATAATTCTTTGATTCTGCACTTAGCATTTTGGCGAGTTTCAATATACGATATTATCTTTTTTATATATCTTAGTTATGATGAATGGGTGCCGAATGAACGGGTATTGAAGTTGTCGCAAGAAAATCGCGATAGACAAAAACAACTTAAAGAACAATACACACCGAAAAAGAAGAAGTCGAGTATGAAGCCAGCATTAGCTAAGCCTACATCTGAAGAAGAGCCGTCAACTAATACCAAAAAGAAACCAGTCACCACAACAAAAGCCGCTGTCTCCAAAGCAATAACAGCACCATCAAAAGTCTCAGCCACAGAATTCAAACCTACATCATCTAAATCTACAACGTCGTCTTCATCAAAAAAATCCACAATTGAATCAGATTCACATCTAAGACCCGAATCAAAACGTACAAAAAAAAGCGATTCGACCACCTCAGCCTCAAAGAAAGGCAAAGAAAAAGAAACCGCTGCAGAAGTTGCGACCACAACAAAGAATGCATCAAAATCCGATGGAACTGATGCAATCGACAAAATGCATCTCGATAACTTGTCCGCTGATCAAGAAATCAATAATAGCAAAGACGAAGATCTTAAAGATGAAGATAAGGAAATATTAGAGATGCTTGAAGAAGCTCCAGAAACAACAACTGTCAAAAAACTTGAAAGTGGTCGTGGAAGACGAAGAAAATACAGTGAAACCGAAGAAGCGTCTCAAGTAAATATGTATAGTTTATAACCTATAAAAAAATCCCCCTTAATCAACCTATTGATCCTTTTGAATAGCTTCCCACTCCAGAACGAGAAATTGATGCAATCGGCATCAATGAACCTGATATCGATCTTCGCATTCCCGGGGTCTTAAAAACGAAGTTGGTTGATGACTGGGAAAATGTCACAAGATTAAATAAAGTAAGCTGTTGAATTTAATTGATTTATCAATGAAACTACTAATACTAATTATTTCATTTATAGATCATCACATCGCCTAGACTTGTCACAATAAACAAAATTCTTAAAAGATGGACGGTATATCAAAGGGCGGAAGAATCGCCTGATGATAAAGAAGATCCAAAGAATCTTGAAAACCACAATCTCACAGAAAACCTCATTACATTAGAAAATCATAATTCGTCGAATGAACAAGCGGTTTCTCCGACAACAAAAGAAGATGGTGATGGAGATGTCGAAATGGCTGAAATGCAGCCAGAAGCTCAGCCGGAGGCTCAGACAGAAGAGCTCAAGGAAGAAGCTAATGAAAATTTTGATTTAAATCCACCAACATCTGATGCTAATAACGAGGTTACTGATTCAACCAACAATATCGAAGAAAACCAAGAAAAATCATCAGAAGAAAATGAAACAGCCAATAATGATCAAGAAGAAAATAATCAAAATACAACCGCCGAAAACGATACATCGACAATAATCGTCACAAATAATCAACCGGAGGAAGAAATAAAGTAATTATCGTGTATAAAAAAATCCAGGAATTACGAAATTTGTTGTCTCACGATATAGTATATGATTTTTTTTTGATTGCAGGGATATCTATTTTGAAGTGGTTAATGGTCTTCGGCGCTATTTCGAACGTGCAATCAATTATAACCTTCTATATAACGTAGAAAAGCCTTATCTCGCCGAGTTAAAAAAGAACCATCCTAATACTGATCTATGCGACATTTTTGGAGCAGAACATTTGCTTCGATTATTGGGTAAATATATTTTTGTCATATGTGTGTATTATTTATATTTATTCAATCAATCGCGTTTTTCTAATTCTTGCTTTTTTATCTTCAATTCTTAGTGAAATTGCCTTTCTTCTTAGCACAAACTGATATGGATCAGGAATCTACACAAGAATTAACATTCCGGTGTGGACAACTCATGAAGTAATTATCTAACATTAGTATCATCTATTTTGATATAATTGATAATTATATTAATTTTTCATCGTCATCGAATAGTTTCATGATTAAAAATATGGAGGAATTCTTCCCACCTTCGCCCACACAATATGCACCTCAAATTGAACACCCAGCTAAGCGTCACATGAATAACAATAGAAAGGTTACTAAACCGACAACATCGTGGAAGAATCAAGGTAATTAATTAATTATGATTAATTTATCATTGAACAAATTTGAATATTCAATATTTTTTATTTAACATTTTCTAGAGGGATTAGTATGTGCGAATTGTAAAACTACAAACACACCAGGATGGCGAGTTGGTGCGACTCAAGACGAAAAATTATGCAATGGTATTTATAATGCTACACAAGTTCTTTTTTTTTTCCTATCTTTATTCGACTGATTGATTTTATTTTGTTTTATATCATAGCCTGTGGTCTCTATTATAGCAAACACAAACAACATCGACCTGAGCACTTGTGGGGAATCGTGCGTTCAAAACGCCAGTCATAAGAATCGTCAGTCTTTATGTTTGCATTTAATGCTTTCAAATTTTATCATTACATAGCTGCAGCACACTAAATGTTGATTTTTTGAATGGTGGTTGGGGTAGTAAAATCCAATCAGACGAATGAACGTGCCTATTATTAAATTAATAGGCTCGAGTAGTAGTAGTTGGTGATGATAATTAATAATCGAAAAAAAAATTGTAATAACTAATATTAATTTTTTTACGCAAGTAATAAGAGGTCAATAGTGAAAGCAGTGTTGAAATTTGAAAAAAAAATTTAATTCGTTTATAAATCTTATGAATAATGTCGTCGGTTGTTGATAATGAAAAAGCTACATATGATATGAATACATTTTTACGCGAAAAAACATCTGAAGATTTGATAGATGAATAAATCACTTGCACGTAGTGGTATATTGGAAGGACTCGAGTGTATACTATTATACATACTTTTATCCAAACAAATCTAAGCCCATATCGTCGTCGGATTCTTCCTCTGGTTCCTCTTGCTTTGTAGCTGCGGCGGCAGTAGGTGCAGCAGCAGTTTCTACAGGTGCAGCAGCAGCGGCGAAAGCAGTCGGATCGGCTAAGTATTCTTTAATCTACGATTGTTATTGAAAAAGAAATAGTAAGCTGTGTTAAATTGGACCAAAAAAAACATCTCGTCTAAATCTTGTAAACCATCAGTAAAAAATTAGAGTGATTATTTTCTTTTCTTTCATTGATACTATTTATGTCTCCAACAGATCTTTCTCATCGTTTGGATCACTAAAAAATAGCAGAATATATAATTAATTACCTTTTCGGATTGGGCGAAGGTGTAATCGGTCGTAACAGAGATAGCCAACAAATTCTTGTAACCGTTAATAAGTGAATGTGGCACGGAAGCAACAGTCGGGTAATTTATACGAAGAGAGAGTGCAGCAATAGCTTGGATTCCGCTTAGTATATGATCGATCAATGCCTTCTCCTCGACATCGAGTACACTAGGATGGAAACAGGCACCATTATCGTAAATTTGAAGAACGCTCATACCATAAGTGAATGGTGAGATGTTCAACATGTTCAGCAAGGTAGCTTCGGAAGCACCGACTTTGCTCCCGGCTTTGACCAAGTGAACTTCATTGATAATTTCGATTGTACCACGAGCAATCTTTGTTGGTACACCGAGAGCCTGGAAGAAATTAGTCTTACCCGGCTCCATACCTGTGTTCCCAGCAGGAACATACACATCGATTGGAGCAACAGCGCCTGCTTTTGCCGGAGCTTTAACCTATTGCCATATAACATTCATGATATTTTATATACACAAAAAAAAATCACATACACATATCTCGTAATATTTTCCCCAACTCACCCTATTAGACAAAATCAAATCTCTAGTTTCTTTCAAATCGCCATTTGTAAACACAAAACCGATATTTCCTTTAATGTGCGGCATCAACTTCTCATACTGTGGAAGTTCACTAATCAGTCCTTTAAGACAACTGCGCACCATCGTATTCTTTCCCATCAAAACAGCAGCACGACCACGAAGCGCATGACGGATCTGATGCATCTGATTTGACCCGACATTATCCACGTTCACGATAAATATCGAGGCGTATTCCTCGAGCAACCGTCGAAGCTTGTCGAAGTATTCAGCTTTTTTAGCGCGACCGCCTCCCTTTGACATCTTGAATAGTTTAAGTGTTTACTGGCACGGTCCAAGTGTTTCAAGGGGATCCAAGGTAATTTTGGAAGCTTAGAGACAAGACTGTCGTTTAGTTGTGCAAACATAATTATATGGCATACATTAGCAAAAAAATTTTGAACTTTTTTTTGCGTGTTGCAAAAAGTAGATAGGTAGCTTTAAAATTATTTATTAAAGAGAAAGATTTCCATTCTTTCATATCTGTCAGTATATCGCAATTTTTTAATGGATGTCATGACCAATACTTACCGCTAGAGCGAAAAATATGTTCAGAAAGAAACGTAAACTTGGTTCATTTTAAGCCTTCTAAAAAATTACATCATCCAATCATTTTGGAGTCACGTGATATTTTGTTTATGGTGGAATTACAGTCAAAACTCGATATAATATAACGATGACTAATTAAAATCTCGATATAACGAAGACAACCCAAGAAACACTTCTAATTAGATTTTCTCGACATAATAAATTCTCAATAGAATGAAATTGGCAGAATTCTTATACAACCACTTCGTTATATCGAGTTTTGACTGTAATAATTTATAAGTACAAGCAAAGTTGTCGTCATCAAGAATTTACCATTTAATAGGCACTCTTGTCACACGGGGTTTATCCGCCAAAATATTCTTGTATAATTTATCGAGATGAAGCTCCTCCGGTGGATTTTCTCTCATTTCCTCATCCCTATACTCATTATTGACATAGTAACCAACACGCACAAACTCTTGATTTCGAAACGAGCACGTGATGATTACCACTGTGACACCGAGAATATCGTGTGGCGGTATTTTTGTGTGATCAGCTGGTGAAACCTAAGATTATTTCACTTTGTGTTTAGAAAAGTAAAATAAAGACGCTAATGGAGGTTTGATTTTTTTTTACCTGGAATAAGAATTTATTTATACCAGCTGGAACTGGTCCGACCATGATGCTGTCTAGAACTTGGTCATATTCTTCACTTTCAGGTGAGCCAACATAGATGACCTTCCATTCCAAATCTGATAAAAAGAAAGATAGATGAATCTTGAGATTTTCTGATTATTGGTAGCAGTGAGAAATTTTCCCTTTCTTTCGATATTTGATATAGGATTTTTAAGATAACGGGGCACAGCATTTAAGTGTAGCGAGACGACGCGTATTCCCCTCAATAAAAACGTTTTCCAAAAAAACGCGTACACACACACACACACACACACACACACAATTATTACTTTTGTTTTACTCTCTCTTCATTGCTGGCAAATTTAATAAAGAATTTCATCACTTATATAAAACATACCTTCATTCAACTCTGTGATGCACTCAAAAGTAATTTCAAACGAAAAGTCGGTTGTGAATAACGCGGGGTTTTCTAATACTTTGATGTCTGTGATGTTGACGATACTCATTTTGCTAGTGGTGAGCTTTTATGAATGTTACTGTTAAATTTACAATTTTATATAATAATAGTAATATTAATATTAAAAGTTGGATGTTAAGAATAAAGATGTGAGTCAACGCGACTTTCTGATACTTGTTGTACTTATTGTCGTTGATGGTACACTTACCATATCAGCTGACAATTTTTTGTACGACTAAAGACATTTATTAGTACTAACGCCGGCACATCATTTGTTAATTCCGGCCAAGAGACTTTAGTGCTGGCCAATGTTTTGTCCGCGGACTTTCGGACATGTCCTGTTGTATAAAATAGTATTTTCAATATAATGAGCATTTTAAACATTTTCTCTGTGCCCAGAGACAGTGTTATATGTTCACATATACGACGAGCCCTACGGTAAAATGTATTATCGGATCAAGCGAGCAAAGTATGGCATATATCTTGAGTCAATACCCTACAAAATAATGCTTTTCCGACCCGACAATACTTCTTTGCTTGATCCGACCATACTAGCACTCAACATATTAACATATAGCTCAACATTGAATCAGAATCTGAAGAGACTAATGCGGTAAAATATCTAACTGCTTCATTTTTATTTGAGACGAGAAATATAATCAATTTGACTAAAAAACATTGGTTTTTCATTTTTATACTGTAATTTCAGGTATTACAGAACGTGAAAAAGTAGTTCAGAATTACCAATCTATCCAAACTTATGAAAAAATTCAATTCTTTATGGCAAAAATTAATAAAATATTAAGAATGAAAGTAAAAAGAATTACCATCGAAATTGTTTGTTAGATAGGATGGAAGAACTTTCTGAACGGAACGAGTATATAATAGATTAAAAAAATTAGATATCAACAAATTATTTATCTTGGAAACCTCGGAAATAAGAAAAAAAAAACAGCGAGCACGAAATTATTAAACAATTTGTTTGTGAAGGCGCATTTTTATTTTATCAATATATTGTAACTATTTATCTCGAGGTCGTTTAGCCATGGCGTTGACCACAGCCAAGTCTAATCTAATTCTACGATCATTTTAATTTTATTCCAAACAACTCGGGCAAATTGCGTGATCGATTACAAATTAGTGAACGCGACCAATTTTGTGGCTCACGCGTTCGCCCATGCGATACTTATATAAATTAGAACGGACTGCTCAGTCTTTAATCCTCATCATATCTTACAAACGAAGCAAAGGTGACACACTGCTAAGAGGTAGTTTCATGAACGAGTTGCATGTCCTTTCACGTTTACCATATTAATTACGTAAGTTTGTCCATAGTTCTGATAACGAAAGCGAAGATGTAGGTAAATCAACGCTAGTCAAAATCCTAAAAGAAAAATGTAAACAGATGGGACTAAGCGTAACTCAACAATGTCTTCGCTGTAAAGGTTCCGAAAAAGGCCAAAACAAACTTGACGAAAAAATAGAAAAGTTATTAAGTAACAACCTCCTTGAATCGGAAAACGATCTCGGAGTTAGCACTAGAAATCGGCGAGGAGCTCGCCGATGAGCTGTCCTCTGTACATGATATCAAGCCTGCCATGTGGACACCGCCCTTAAGGAAACCGGAAAAAAATTTTAAACTGCAGTCTAAGTTGAACTTTTCCGGCTGTACTGTGAGAAAGAATACAAAAATGGGAAGGAAAACTTCAAAAATTCTATCAAAACGACGATTATGGTATCGATCTGGAAGTAATAATCGTCGAAGATAAAAAGGAATACTCGAACGTCATCATATTCGAACGATCACACGTATGAATACAATTTTATTAATAATTACTCTTGGTCTATGACTTTCTCTTACCGTTTACTTAAGCTTTTATTTACCTCAGAAAAAATCTCAAAAATGATAGGCAAAAAGTGGTGGGAAGAAGATGAAACTAGAGACAAGTATAAAAAACTAGGTTGCTGCTAGTTCTTAGTTTATATATTTTTTCTTATTAAATTTTTCTATTTTTGATTATTTTTCAAGTTTTTTTATTCAAGGCTTATATGGTGCAAAGGATTGGGCTTTCTTTGTGGTATGTATAAACATAGACACAGTTGTAAAGAAATTAATGCGGTAAAGACTAGTAATTTATCTAGCTGCTTCATTTTTTTTATTAATATTCACTAATTTCGTGTATTTATTTGATGTATATACCCATTCAGAACCGTATGAGCTAATTCCAGAACATTTATATAATAAGAAAATGAGCAGACAAACTCGCGCCCAGACGATGTTTGTAAAGCAATTGATGGCCACCACGACTTCGACGGGGGAAGAATCCGAATGGCAATATAATTCGATAAATATTGTAAAACATTTATCGGAAGCGTTCAAATTGATGAATTGAATAAATTAAAATACAACCACCCTTTATTGTCATTCGTTATAGATACAACCGATAACTTCCTACGCAAGTTCAGTTCTTGCAACAATTGGTGCAGCAGCATCAAAAAGAGCAACACCAAAAACAAGGGTGCAAAAATTCATAATGATAATAATATTAAGTTGTGAGACTGATGTTGCTAATAGTGGGTAGGAAGTAGATAAAGTAGATAACATTTACAAAAAGATAATTAGATGAAAACTGGGTTGACGTGGATCAAAGAAATCTTTACCACTGACGAATTAAAAGAAATAAATCAATGTTAAAGAACCAAAATTAAGTTCTTTTTTCTAATAGGACACAAGTATGCATATGTGTACCACAAGGAGGTGGGGAGGGGGATACTTTAAAATATAACAAGATAAATATAATTTTTTAGATATGTTTATAAATTACTGCCTTAAACCGGGCCGGGGAATTATTAGGTACAACAATATACACGTAACCCAAATGTGTTCTCTTTGAACTATCACGAGTTTTGGTACAATGTCAATGCATAAGGCCTATAATTGACAAAGCTTACGATGATATCGGCAAATGTTGACTAGTAAAAGGTTGAAATTGCATGAATATTCTGTTAATCCATTCAATCTTTACATAGTCTCGCGGTTGTATCATAGAGATAAGAAGAAAAGGGGACGCAATAATTTTGGAAGGATACGACTTGAATTTGGAGTTATGGAAACCAATAAACACTATGAAGAGCAAAAATGGCTGCACGAATCCAAATATGTTTTTGAAAACTTAACATTGGGTTCGTTCAGTTATTTTGTTCCGTTTTGCTCTTCACAGTGTCTACTGGCTTCCATATATCTCCAAACTCAAGTTGTATCATTATGTCTCCTTTTCTTTAGTGATTGAAAATTCCTTAACCGAAAACGAAAAAAATTGTAAACAGTTTTATATTCGAATGTTATTTTTCATATTCTTTGAATTGGGTGATATTGATCATTTGAAAATCTTTTTCATGTCTATTATTACTATGGTGCAAACGACCTAGCACATCAGTATTTTTTTGTTAATTTAGAAAGTGATTATCTCGAATATCTTTAATTTCGTGAACTACGACGTCGTGAAATTAAAAATAGAAGAATTTTGTATAAAAGAATATAAGAAAATTATATTCATGGCATTTTTGTAAAGCATCATTAATTTGATAATAAATACAATTTGCTTTTTTTTATTCTTGCTAAAAAAAAAATACAACTTGCTTTATTACTAAAAATTTCACAATAAGATTCGGATTTGTTTTGCCGGGTTGATCAAAAATTTACGCATCCCCAATTTATAAATTCATCCAAACACGTGAAATATTTACAAATCCAATAACTCTGCCATAACTCCGTAATTCCGCCCAAACACCGACAAATTGAGTTTTATCACGTGTCCGTCCTCTTTTGTAGGCTAGTTCACTGATTAAAAATCGCGAAACTTTCAAGTTTGTGTTGATGGGGCATTCTTTTCCGGAATTACTTCGAAAATCACGACTTGCTACATTTGACCCTGCAATACCGCAGGTATACAAAACATATGGGCCTTTTAAAAAACGTGGTGACTGGGGTTTAAAACGAAACCTTCCAAATATATTACGAACTGATGTAATAACCGTAAAAGCTCTTGACACCGTAGAGCACCAAACCGACTTTAAAAGTGCACGAAGCTTAGTAGGATTTGCTCGAAAATGGAAGGAACTATTCAAAATCTCCAAACCACCACCACCGATGAAAGAAAACCTCGAAAAAAACATTACTCGAATGTCAAGACAAGAATTTGGAAATTTTCTTAAAGAAGTCGAGAAAAGAAAGGGTGAATGGGATGCGCTAAGGGAAAAACCCATCGATGTACTTGGTTTTGTGAATGCTACGGATGATATAAACCCGACACCTGTCTGTGGACTGACATATTCCAATTGTAGCCCGGGTACTAATGTCCAAGTGCAAGGACGAATATTAAACAAGGATGCATCGCTTACTGGATATGCGGTTGGTTTGGCTGGCATTGTCGCTTATTTGCCGACAAGAAAGTCGAATCGTATTAGTAGTATTGATCACCAAAAAGTGTTTAATTTCTTTGTGGAGAAAGCGGAGTTCGATGCACAAGGGAAACCGAATATTCAGTTATCGCAAATTCCACCGTATTCAATGTACAATAATTTAGGTTTCTTGGAGCCCGGTGAAAAGAAAACTTCATTTTTTGAATCTGCAAGCATCGGTAAAAGATGGAGTGTTAATAATAGATATCAAGTTAGCCAAGTTCTTCTTGATAAATTGAGTGTTTTGATTAAACAAGGAACATCTTCTGCTTCGATCATGGATGATGAAGAGAAACAGGAAAAACAGGAAAATAAACACGAGAAGACAGAAAACGATTTCTTGTCCATATTAGGTCGTTCTAAAAATAATAATTCTATTTAACTTCAATAATCTAATCTAAACTTGTGATGAGGTGAAAATCATCAGCAAAATTTTATATTGAAATTTTTCTAATTCTACCAAGAAGTGTCCAAATTTTTATTATATTATTATTATCTATCGTTTATAGTTCTTTCACAAACATTAATTTCATCGGAATACTCGGGTTATTTTGCATCTTTGGTGGATGGTTTAGGAATAAGTCCCCGACCTATTGATGCCGATGAACTCGGACCACTAATATTACTTAAAATATTCGTGTTTAAAGATGGCAATCGAGTTGGTATTGCCGATTTCAGATTTGAAGATGATGATGATGACGCACCACCTTCTGAAGTTTTCTTTGCCCGTGTTATAGAAGAAAAAGTAGGAATAGATGTTTTTACTGACGGTGATGTTGTTGATGAAAGCTTCGTTGTAACGTTTTTCTTTGGAATGCCAGTACCCGGTGGCTTCCACGGAGGATTAATGAATGGTGGTGGTTGATAATTACTACGTTTACTGCCATCTCCCTCGTGCATTAATGTCGATTGCATTTCTTCACTTATTTGACGAAATACTGCATTCTCGATAAAATCTTTTCGTTGATTCAGTTGCTGATCATTTCGCCAAAAAATTATTGGATTAGAATTAGTAAATAAACAACATGACATGGACACAATCTTTTAATACCCATACCTGCAAGTTTGTCAACACTTTAGTTATATTGACATCACGCCGCTCAATTTGTTCAGCGAATTTAGCACACTAAAGAATTTTATCGAATTGGATTTTAGTGTAATTTATTCGATTTAATTGATGAGTATCCATAATATAATCAAACCTGTTCTTCCAGAGCTTTTAGTCTTTCACGTTCATTATCTAGTGCTCTATTTTTTTCCTCGAGTTGTGCGCGAAGTTGATCATTAAATAGCGCGAGTGTGTTTTCGGCTTTGGCGGTAAATGCTTTAGTCTCGTTAGAAAGCTAAAAAGCAGTTGTGCAAGATATTAAATAGTCTTCCACAGTGCAGCTCATTATAAAATAACGATTCATATATGAACGAACCTCCATTTGTGTTTTATTAAAATCGAGCAATTCCTGGAGTTGGGTATTTCTCCGATTCAGAGATTGTATCTCCGCCTCCAAATCCCTTATAATTTGCGGATATTCTTGTCAATATTATATTGATCAACTATAATGATAATAATTGATCATTAATACTCACTTGTTTGATTCTCGGATAGAATCAACCTTAACTCTAGCACCTTGCTTTTCAATTTTTAATCGTTCTTCAGCTTGAATCATGCGTCCTTCCACTTCTTTATATCGAGACACCCACCGCCGTTCTTCATCTCTCATATTTGTGTCCAAATTTCTGGAACGTCGCTCAGCTTCCCTATATTTAATTTCGTATTCATCAGCACGAGATTTGACAGATCGAAGATCTTCAAGTTGATCTCGCAGTGATGCCAGCTGGTCAAGAAGCTCTTCGTTTGTATTCTAATTGATTTCGTTAAGCAAAGAATGTCAGAAGCCAATCGATAAAATATAGTTACAAAGACCACGTTCTAGAAATAAATACCCGTGTAGCCTCAAGCTCTCCTTGATTTTTCCTTGCTTGTTCTCGCCACTCCTTTGTGGCTGTGTTAGCTTTATTAATAACACCATCGAATTTGCTCATTTGACGTAATTTAATATCCATTTGTTTTTTAAGTGCTCTATTTAATAAAGATAGATTATTATTATAAATGTTTTTTCTGGATTTTCAAAAAGACTAATGTTCATCTGGGATAAGAAAAACTTGCTCATATTGTTCTTGCCAACGAGCATCAATTTCTTTGGCACGTCGTTCAAATGTCGTGTGCACGTGGCTTAAAGTCTTGAGTTTTGACAATAAATGTTCATGGAAAAGATTAAAGTTGATCGAGGGTTTCGGGAAGTTAGACTATAAAATATATACATATTGAAAAATCAGTTTTTTTTGTTGATAAAAAGTTAATATATAAAGCATAGCAAGATTAAAACTTTAAAGTGAGCACAAACCTGCTTGTTACCATCTGACATTATCGTATCAAGATATTGGTATGTTGTTATCAACAATGTGTTGCGCTCAATTATTTGATCACGATATTGAGTCTCAGTTGAAAATGTAGACTATGAAACCAATAGTAAATAGTTAAAACCGATTTGCTACAATTCGAACTCAAAAAAATTAGATATCATTGATATTATTAATTCAAACCTTCTTTTCTTGAGACAGATTACTTTCAAGGTGTGCAACTTGGGATTTTAGCTCATCAATAATTGAATTGTTATCACGCATATCCTGTATTTCAGAGAACATGTGAACTTGATGTCTATTATAGTTAGAAAAATGAGCAAACAATTCATAATAATTTACTTACCATCTGAACATTTCTGCACATTTCTTCTGCCTTGACACGTGCAGCCTCACTGCCAGTTAATTTTTCATTGAGCTTGCCCTTTTGATTATTCTAATTACATAGAAAAAAATTATTAAAATTGAATTACATAAAAAGAGAAACAAATAAACTGTAATACATGCCAAGTGCTTAATATCATCCTCATATTGAAGAATAATATTTTTTTTACTCTCGAGTTCATCGCTGACAGTCTCGAGTTGAGCGTTTATTTTTTCAAATTCTCGACGCATCGCATCCAATTCCTAGATTTTATTTAGGTCCAAGATTTTAATACATTAATAAAAAAAGAATTCCATAAATGATATTTACCACTCGAAGTCTTTCTTGTTCTTTAGTATATCTTTCCAAGGTGTCCTTTGATCGATTTGTTTGATTACCAAGTTGTTGACGTGCATAATGCAAATCATCTTCTCGCTCTCGAACAACTACTTCCAACTCTGAAACTTTTTGTTCTGTCATTGATAGTTGCTATAATTCACGACGAAGAATAGATAAGAATTGATAATTGGATGAAATTAAAGGACAATGAAAAAAATCATTCGTACTTCTTCTAGTTCATGTAATGTTTTTTCGTAATTTTTCTCTACTTCTCTTTTCTCTTTGCGAACTTTTTCCAATTCTCTTTCGAGATTTTCTTTTTCTTTATTATGCTCGACAGATATTTGTTGTTCTTTCGAGAGAGCCACATTACGTTGTTCTGCTTCGACACGAACTGTGTTTTCAAGGTCAACAATCTGAGCTTTATAGGTTTCTATCTCGCGGTGAAGATAAACAATTTCTTTGGCGCTAGATTCTTGAGATACCTGAAGCTCTGAAATTTTCGTTTTATGGGCAGCTAATTTCTAAGAATATTCAAAAGAATACGTGTTTGAGATTTTTGTTCAAGTAACTATTTATTCAATACGTTTATTATCTTGTTCTACTCACATCCTTTAATTCGCTCACCGAATCATCATGTGATCTCTCTTGAGATTCTGCATTTCGCTTCAATGATTTTATCTGACTTTGTAATTCTTCAATTGTTTCCAAATTTTCGCTTTTTATCTGTTGACGTAATAAAAATATATATATAAGTTATGCGAAATTAAAGATAACGCCGATACAAAACTTTGTAATTCAAACCTTATTCAATTTCTCTACTAAAATTTGATTTTCTCTGGTCCTTTCAAATCTTTCTGCATCAACCTAAAAATTAATAAATGAATTTTAATATAGTCATAGTTTATGGAGAAAATCAATTAATTATGTTGGTAGTGTGTTCTTGCATTTTCAAGCGTTTGCTTCAAATCAGATATCTCTTGGATGTTTTCTTGAATCTGTGTTCTCAATTCTTTGCAAGAATCTTGGTGACGAAGTTCTTCTCCTTGGCGATTATTGTGAATGACAGTCAAATCGTGTATCAGCTGTTCGTTTTCACCCTGAACAAGTCCCAAATTCTATATGGACAGAAATATTCAATGAGAAACCAAATATTGAACTCGTATTGCATCCATCATGAATTTATTATTCGCACATATACCGACCTCTCTTAAAACAGCTACTTCTTCTCTTAATTGCCCTGACTCACGATCCCAATTATCTTCCAAATCTCGTATTTCACTGGCATGAGTTGCATTATTTTCATCCATCCTAGTAACTAGTTGATCAATTTGCATTGTTTTTTCTCGCAACTGCAAAGTCAACTCGGCAACTTTGTCTCGAAAATGCCCAAGGCTCTAAGATACAATATTTTTGAATTTATTAAATTTGGAATAGGATTCCCCTTCTGAAAAACTAGTTAATATGGATTACCTCTTCGAGTTGATCGCTAAAATCGCCATTAATAAGACGCGAAGATATCTCTCCGAGTGAAGTAGTCGCACTTTTTGGACGCCCTCTTATCATCTCTAGTTCGGTAATGAGTTCATCGACATCATTATCACGGGCAGATAATTGTGCTTTAAGGGTGGCATTTTGCTATTTTTATTAATATTAAAATGTTCTCTAAATGAAATGCATTCAACAACAATTACATATAGAAATTTCAAAATCATACATACTCCTTTCAATTGTTGCACAAACGTATTATATTTTTCTGCTTCTTCTTGTCTAGTCTTTTCAGCAAGCTGATGAGCACGTTTTTCAATTAATTCGGATACAAATTCATCGTCAACTTCATCATCACGATTTTTGCTATTCATATTCTCTAATTGTGTAGTCTTATCTTGTAGTTTTTTATAAAGTGCACTTCTTTCTTCGCGTTCTTTAGCCAATTCCTCTCTCAAAACTTCCACTTGCGAATTTTCAAGATCATTATTAATTTTTTGAGGCTTCACAAGTTCAAGATGCCTTTTCAACTCAGCATATCGACGTTGGAGATTGGCGTTCTCTTGCTCAAGTTGATCGGCTTTGAAGAGTGCTTGGTTATAGTATTCTTCTTCTTCTGGGGACATTCCGTGTGGGAGTTTACATTGCGGCGTATTATTTTTCGCAAATTTCTCAAAGGCGGTTTTTGATTCTTGAAGTTGCTTTTTCATTTTTGCGTTCTCTAGTTTCATGCTTTGAATTTGTACCTATTAATAAAAATAACTATTAAATTTTGAATCTGGGAAAAATAATCGAAAAAGAAATTTCCTTTTTAAACTGACCTGCATTTCGATATGCTACAATGTTCCAATCAATATTATTATAAAAAAGTTATATATTGTAATTGTGATCATGAAAAAATGAGCAGAGAAAAACAAGTCGAGACTTTACCTCTTTCAGTGCTTTATCCATTTCATCGGGACCTAACTTGCTCAACTGTTCTTCTAAAAAATAAACCTTCATTTTCAAACTAAAATTTTCTTTTTTGATTTCATCAACCACCTTAAACAAACGTGCAAATATTTTATTAAAGAAAAATTCTTCGATAGCAAACGAAAAAACCAATAAGAATAACTTGTGAAATAATTACTCGTTCTTGCTCTTTCAAAGTCATTTTAGTATTTCGAGTCGAGGGCGCACCAACAGTCCACCGTACATTGTCGCGTTTATTGTTGTTATTATTGTTCTGAAAAAACCGCGTTTCATTCGCGTCAGGAATCCTACGCGAGCTTCCTGACAACTCTTCAGAGTCATTGATGCTGTCGTTGTTTAGTAAGCGGGAAACGTTGAATTTAAGGTTACTATCCTCTGCTGGATTATAGTCTCTTGCGTGGTTGTCACCAGTGTCAGAGGTTTTTAAAGACGCAGATGATTTGCCGGATTCTTGAAAAAAAGACGAGGTGTTTTTTTCTAAACCATCTAAACCGTTGGCAAAGGTAGCATCGACGGAGCCAAAAGTTGCGTCTTCGTTACTGTAAGATATTTCAGCCTCCGTTAGTGAGTGTGTGTAGTCTGTCATAAATCCTAGATTTTGTATTGTCAACTCGGGCGAACAGAAGGAGCAATTTGTTTTATATTGACTAGTGACGTCACATAATAAAATAAAGTTTGCTACACAAAATTTATTTTATCATGTGAAGATTCGTAATTTTTACGCGTCCTT